CTGGTTGGCTCAGGCGGCGATGACGGGTGTGAGGGATCTGTGCCCCCCCATATGGTGTAACCTTCTTTTTTCTATTCTGTCTTTCAGCCACACTTCTGATGAAGCAAGCCTGGCCGCAGACCTCCACATCCTGTGCCAACGACGGCACATTCCACCTGCCCGTGGACAATGGCTCCGAGAACAGGACCTACCAGGCGTCTTCTGCAGCTTTCAGTAAATAATCCATTTTCTTTCCCCCGACTTGCCGTCTCATTATGCCGCCGCTTGCTGACTCGGCGCTCTCCGTCCTCGGCTGGCTGTAGATCACTCCGCTGTCATTACCTTTTTGTCGGTGGCGGCTGTCTTAGAAAACGTATTACCACCGGCCAGATGTTTGTCAGGCAACAGGAGGCATCTCCTCTGACTATAGGGAAGCGCAGACTACGCCCCCTTTTTTGTTTTTATTTCGGCTTTTGAGGTCTGAACTGTTACATTTGGGGAATAGTTCAAAATAAAAATGTTTTTGAGTCGAGTCAGCACTGCATTCACTGTACAGGCGCATGCTTGTGGAGATTTAAAGGAGAACTATGAGGTGGGTGAAAATCACTCAGCCTCATAATCTGAGCCGACCTGTGACAATGAGACTGTCACAGGTCGGCTCTATAGATCGGGAAGTGAGGGAACACATACCGGCGTTCGCTCACCTCTCAATCTATCCCTGCAGTGTCACTCACAGCTCCCCCTCTCCGATCCTCCAGCGCTGACTGGCGGAACGGATGGGGGAGGGGGCATGCACAGCTGGCTCTGCCTCTAGATAGGCAGAGCCAGCTGTCAATCCTGCAGCTGGGTGGATCCAGACAGTAATGTCGGGATCCGTTCCGGCTGCAGCGTCTCAGTATATAGTGAGCAGCAGCTCGCGGTATACTGAGCTTTGGCTGATGGGAGGACGCTAGTTTGTGTTCCCCCGTGACCCTTAGGAGAACTAGGGGGGAAAGCCCTGACCCCATAGTTCTCCTTTAACCATCACACCTACCTGTATGGGCAAAGGACCACCTCCAAATTATTGAGTTCTGGTGTTTCAAGTGAAGGGGACTCACTAGGGATGCACTGATACCGGTTTGACTTCCGCTAGTATGGAACCAGCTTCCCTGGCAATCACTCTGTCATTACCCACTGCCCGGCTTCGTGATTGCCCGGGAAGCCGCCTACATGCTGTTTGGCTGGCTCGATGCTGAGGCAGCCGGCTTCCAAGCTAATCAGCATCGAACCGGCTTCCCAGCCAATCAGGAAGCCGGAAGGCGAGTCATAAGCCGCTGGCCGGCTCCATGCTGTTTGGCCGGCTTGATGCTGCATGGCTGGGAAGCCGGCTTCCCGGCCAAAAAGCATCAAGGCAGCTTCCCAGCCAATCAGGAAGCTGGGCATTGGGTAATGACATGCCGCCTGACTTCCTGATTGCTCGGGAAGCTGGCTCCATGCTAGGGGAAGTACCGGTATCAAATTTTGCCCAATCAGCAAGGAGCCGCCCATTTAGGATCACTGGTGGCGTGCCTCTAGATAGGCAGAGCCAGCTGTCAGTCACGCAGCTGGGCGGATCCAGACAGTATTGTCGGGATCTGTCTCGGCTGCGGCGTCTCAGTATATAGGGAGCTGTAGCTCGCGGTATACTGAGGCTAGGGAAGAGCCAGCTGTCAATCCTGCAGCTGGGTGGATCCAGACAGTAATGTCGGGATCCGTTCCGGCTGCAGCGTCTCAGTATATAGTGAGCAGCAGCTCGCGGTATACTGAGCTTTGGCTGATGGGAGGACGCTAGTTTGTGTTCCCCCGTGACCCTTAGGAGAACTAGGGGGGAAAGCCCTGACCCCATAGTTCTCCTTTAACCATCACACCTACCTGTATGGGCAAAGGACCACCTCCAAATTATTGAGTTCTGGTGTTTCAAGTGAAGGGGACTCACTAGGGATGCACTGATACCGGTTTGACTTCCGCTAGTATGGAACCAGCTTCCCTGGCAATCACTCTGTCATTACCCACTGCCCGGCTTCGTGATTGCCCGGGAAGCCGCCTACATGCTGTTTGGCTGGCTCGATGCTGAGGCAGCCGGCTTCCAAGCTAATCAGCATCGAACCGGCTTCCCAGCCAATCAGGAAGCCGGAAGGCGAGTCATAAGCCGCTGGCCGGCTCCATGCTGTTTGGCCGGCTTGATGCTGCATGGCTGGGAAGCCGGCTTCCCGGCCAAAAAGCATCAAGGCAGCTTCCCAGCCAATCAGGAAGCTGGGCATTGGGTAATGACATGCCGCCTGACTTCCTGATTGCTCGGGAAGCTGGCTCCATGCTAGGGGAAGTACCGGTATCAAATTTTGCCCAATCAGCAAGGAGCCGCCCATTTAGGATCACTGGTGGCGTGCCTCTAGATAGGCAGAGCCAGCTGTCAGTCACGCAGCTGGGCGGATCCAGACAGTATTGTCGGGATCTGTCTCGGCTGCGGCGTCTCAGTATATAGGGAGCTGTAGCTCGCGGTATACTGAGGCTAGGGTGACGGGAGGACGCTAGTTTGTGTCCTCCCGTTACCCTAAGGAGAACTATGGGGAAAAGCCCTAACCCCATAGTTCTTCTTTAATGTCCATGGTTTTGGAGTGGGATGTTGAACAATTTCATATCGGTGTGATGGTCAGCTGTCCAAAAAGCTTTGACCATATAGTGCAGTGGTGGCGAATCTTGGCACTCCAGCTGTTCCAAAACTACAAATCCCAACATGCATCGGCCTCTGGGAGTTATGTCTGTGGCTGTCAGAGCCTTGCAATGCCTCATGGGACTTGTAGTTCCAAAACAGCTGAAGTTCCAAGGTTCGCCACCACTGCTATATTGTATTTCACCCCATTGTTTTTTTATACCACTTGCAACCAGCTCTCTGCCTTCTACTGCAAGATCTTCTAATAAATAGTGATTGCACTGTATGGGACGGATGTGTAAAACTCCCACTAAGCTTATAGATGGGGGAAGGCCACTTGCACAGCATTATGGCCACTAGATGGAAGCGAGGAGCATATTTCCTGGGCTCCTTGCCTCCATTTTTGTGGCAGTAATGCCATGCGAATGTCATTGGCTCAGCTACACCGTGGGTGAATGTTTTATACATCGGCCCCCTGTGTGTATTACTCTTATAATGTTAGTATTGTTATTGATCTGCTCTCTGTGTCTTCTTCCTCCCGCAGGGTACACAGCCGGCACCCCTTATAAAGTCCCTCCGGGTCAGAGCAATAGTGCTCCTCCACCGTATTCTCCATCCCCCAACCCATATCAGACAGCGATGTACCCCATCCGAAGTGCCTACCCCCAGCAGAACCTGTATGCCCAGGTAAGGGTACCAGCCAGTAACACACCCGGGTGTGCAATGCAAATCTGTGTACAGTGTGTGACCGGGCCAACTACAAAACAATCAATCTGATGGGGCTCTAGAAATGCTGCAAGTGCAGAAAAATACCCCTCGACCTCCGAAAATACAGTGACCCCCAAACTTCCCAGACCGCCCGCTAAGGGAGGAAAGTCCAGACCAATGCTTCTATGATAAAGAACGTTTCCTAAATATGACAGATGAGGGGAGTGATGGGAACCCGTTATCTGTAACTGGAAGTTTATGGTACTAGAACATGAGGCATCATCATTATTAATAGAATATGGAAGTGATGCCAAAAGAAATAATAGGAAACAATAGTAAAGATGGTAATAATAACTAATATACTAGTAATAATAAATAATACCGTGTTTCCCCGAAAGTAAGACCTACCCCGAAAATAAGACCTAGCGCTATCTTCGGGGATTTCTGTAATATAAGACCTACCCCGAAAATAAGACCTAATATCTTCCTGTGCAAATGTCTATTTACGTGGATGCAACGCTCCTCACCCCAAGGAATTGTTTTACCCCATGCCCAAAGTCCCCTCTCTCTCACCCGCACCTGCACTGTAGAGCCTCGTAGACCTCTATGGGACTCATCTACCTTAGTCTTCTGGCCGGGAGATGGGCCCCGTAGTCTTCTGTGGGGCTCTTAAGCAGAGGCACGGCCGGGGGAGAGAAGATCTGTAGAGCGGAATGTCAAGAAATACAGGAGGCCGTGGATTAAAAACAGTGTTGCAAGAACAAGGATACTTGCCTTATGTCTTATGGCCTCGATGTGCGTCGGAAAAAAAGTAGGACATGTTGCACTTTTGCGCAGCGTGTTCTGATGTCCTGTAACGCATCACAACGCACCGCGGCACATTTACATTTAGAAACAAACAAAACACACAAAAAAACTCTTGTTAACAACACATTGCAGCTCAGTCTGCGTTAAACAGCCAATCAGCACGTGTTACTTTCAGGACAACCCACGTTCTATTAATGGGCCCTTGTGTACATTAAAGAATAATAAAGCACTGCAATGCGTGTTAACAACACAATGCAGCCCAGCACACGTTATTCCACAAACCAGCGTGCGTTATGTGTGTGATAACCAGCACCTTGTGACGTGAATGGGCCCTCGTGACGTGAATGGGCCCTTGTGGACTGCAGAGGGGGAGGGCAGATCATTCTTCTGCGTAGTGATCCTCTATAGGTAATGCCTGTCATAGATGTCTGCTCGGTGATGGTTAGGCCCCCACTGCAGCACTTGTATCTACAGCCGTCCTGCAGCGCCACCTGCAGTCAGAAGAGTGCGCTGCACCCAGGAAAATGGCTATAAGTCACAATAGACTAAACATTGGGGTAGGCAACCTCGGCCCTCCAGCTGTGCTGGAACTACAAGTCCCATGAGGCATTGCAAGTCTCTTGACATTTACAGACATGAGGTAGAGGGATGATACAGTGTGGCTGAGAATATCATGTAGGAGGTGGGGGTGCTTTGGTGTCGGGTTGTCTTGCGGGGGGGCACAGAAGCAGTCAGGGAATCGTCTTCGGTCAGTTTGCTCCTCTGAGGACTTGCTGACGTACGACGGTTCCCTACTCAGAGTGCCGGTGACTAGATTGCCAGATTGTTTTCTTATGTTTGTTGGCCCATTTAACATGACCTCTCATTCTTGTTCCTCAGGGCGCTTACTACACGCAGCCTATGTACGCCGCACAGCCCCACGTCATCCACCACACCACTGTGGTCCAACCAAACAGCATCCCCTCTGCGATATACCCCGCCCCCGTAGCGGCACAACGGACTAACGGCGTTGCAATGGGAATGGTCGCCGGGACCACCATGGCCATGTCAGCAGGTGGGTTCTCCATCCAGGAGTAGAGACGAGATGTCAGGCTGCTGATTGTCCATAGCTAGAGGCGTACTGAATCAAAGAGGACCTGTCATTTAAATGGCCAGTGATAGGTGTGTAGGGACCTCAGATGCTGAAATGTGGAGGGTAAATCCCAAAAACTGGAGGCTGCAACCATCCAGAATACAGATTCCAGTTGTGGCCAGATGGAAGTATTAAAGGATGAGTTGACATAAGGGGGTCTATTTATAAAAAAAATTAATTGCATAGCTATCCAGGGAAAACCAGCTGTTGGGGCAAAAACTAATGTTCTTCAGCTATTTTCTCTTCTGGTCAAATGCTCCTCATAATTGAATGTTCCCCATAGGGCAGGGGTAGCCAAACTCCGGCCCTCCAGCTGTGGTGAAACTACAAATCCCATGATGCATTTCTCTCCCGGAGTCATGTCTGTGGCTGTGAGAATCTTGCAATGCCTCCTTGGATTTGTAGTTCCACCACAGCTGGAGGTCCGGAGTTTGGCTACCCCTGCCATAGGGGAATGGTAGTAGTAGCAATGGTGACATTTATCTGCTGATTCCCTCCAGTGTCCTCTACAATTGTTACATTGTATCTCTTGTTATTAGGATGTATTTATTTCCTGTGACCATCAGCGCCACCTGGTGGCCACAATGTGGTATTTCCCCATTCGCTCTGTTCTTTATGAAGGAGCCTATTATGACTACTGCCCATAATACATGAAGAATAGGGATGCACCGAAACTTATCCCGATACCAAAACATCTTCCCAGAGGGAGATTTCCTCTGACCGGCAGTGCCGTGAGGGAACATGGAGCCGGCTTCCCGGCCGAAGCCGGCTCCATGCTATTTAGCCATTAAGAAAGCACAGCAATGCAGGCGGAGTGTGCAGAGTGGCGCCCCCCTATAGCAGGGCGCAGTACTCACCAGCCGTGCGCTGACAGCTCTCCCCATGCATCTCCGGATTCTGGTCGATTGTGACGTCACCGGCTAGATCGCAGGGCCAGCAGACTGCGCAGGCGTCCAGAGCTCTCTGCCTGTAGGCCGGAGAACCCGGAAGTGCCAAACAGCCGTCTTGATGCTGATTGGCTGGGAAGCTGGCTTCCCGGCCAAACAGCATGGAGCCAGGTTCCCGGCCAATCAGGGAGCCAGGCAGCAGGTAATGACCCACAGGAAACCTGGCTACATGTTGATTGGCTGGTATGCCGGCTTCCCGGCCAATCAGCATGGAGCCGGCTTCCAGGGCAAACAAGAAGCTGGGCAGCAGGTAATGACCCACAGGAAACCTGGCTACATGTTGATTGGCTGGTATGCCGGCTTCCCGGCCAATCAGCATGGAGCCGGCTTCCAGGGCAAACAAGAAGCTGGGCAGCAGGTAATGACTCCCTGCCCGGCTTCCTGGTTGTCCGGGAAGCCAGCTCCATGCTGATTGGCCGGGAAGCCGGCTCCATGCTACCGAAAGTACCAGCAGTGGTCTTCAGTATCGGCGAGTACCGAAATAAAAATGTTGTTACTCGTACTCAATACCGAAAATCCAGTATGGGTGCAGCCCTAATGGAGAACATTCCAGCAGAAGAAACAATAACCTAAGAGCATTCCATGTTTGCCCCGTTCTCACATCGGCTGATTCATTCACACAGAGTGAATGTACATGCAGGTTCAGTGGATGAATATCTACGGAAAAGTGGTTTTTTTTTATACAGGAAAGGGTTAACATCCGTTCGTTTATTTATGTATTTTGTTTGCCTCTTCCCCCGTCCGGGAGATTTCCTTTCACATCCTATCCCAATAACAAAACAGGAAGTGAGCGGATATCTCTTACACAGTGGTCACCTGAACCTGTGTTCCTATTGATGTATCTAGTTCTGGTGACACCTGTAAATATTGGGATTTCCCGTCACTTCCTGTCTCGGCGGCAATGCTCACTAGAAAGGTGAATCTCTCCGGCGCGTGCACGGACGGAGATAAAGACTCGATCGGGGTCCTCATCTAAAACATAACAAAAAGTCAGCAGTACGCACACTTTAAATCTGCATTTTCTAAGTTAAAGCCGACCAATTGAATCTGCTCCCCTCCCCCCATTGGCTGGTCTCTTTTGAATCGGCACAGCTTTATTAGTTGTAGACGTTTCAGCACCAGAAATGTTGTCACCTGATGTCTCGGCATTAGTACAGACTGACTGTGAATGGCAGAATCTTATTGAATGCAGCAGATGATAACTCGGAGCGTTTTCTTCTCCAGGCACGTTACTGACCACCCCTCAGCACACTGCCATTGGAGCACATCCCGTCTCTGTGCCAACATACAGAGCTCAAGGAACCCCAACGTACAGCTATGTACCCCCACACTGGTAATCCCGCTGGCCTGTCTATGTAAGTACAACCGCCGCCTTGTATTGTATGACATGAACATGTTTCTTGCAGTGCTGTGTGGTGTTAGGGGGACCCCTTGTGGTGCCTCTGGGAACAGCAACACCTAGACTCAGACACAAGGGGCACAGCAAAGACGGCCATACACTGCTTGTTTTTTATCTACATTCATTCTCTTATCATGTATCTACATTCATTCTCTTATCATGTATCTACATTCATTCTCTTATCATGTATCTACATTCATTCTCTTATCATGTATCTACATTCATTCTCTTATCATGTGTCTATCTACATTTAATTGTTTTATAATGTTATTGCCTGCTATATACGGAAAACGCTGCAGCCGGGACGGATCTCGACAATACCGTGGAGATCCATGCAGATATACACATAAGAGAATGAATGTAGATACATTATAAGAGAATGAATGTAGATACATGATAAGAGAATGAATGTAGACACATGATAAGAGAATGAATGTAGATAGACACATGATAAGAGAATGAATGAATGTAGACACATGATAAGAGAATGAATGTAGACACATGATAGGAGAATGAATGTAGATAGACACATGATAAGAGAATGAATGTAGACAGACACATGATAAGAGAATGAATGTAGATAGACACATGATAAGAGAATGAATGTAGATAGACACATGATAAGAGAATGAATGTAGATACATGATAAGAGAATGAATGTAGATACATGATAAGAGAATGAATGTAGACACATGATAAGAGAATGAATGTAGATACATGATAAGAGAATGAATGTAGACAGACGCATGATAAGAGACAGGACAGGATACAGGGTCAGTGAGCCGATCGCGATCTACCAGTGTTCGCTTTGCGATCGACCTAATGGGCCCCCCTGGTGTGAAGGTTCTCATGTGTGTTAATGAAGCTTTACATGTCTGTAGATATCCAGGCAGATAGGAGAAGAGACAGCGATAAGCTGACATATATATCTGTGACCAAACCTTGTTTCTGTATGTTGCAGGTCCGGAGTAAAACATTGTATGCAAACGCTCAAGTCTTACATGGGTGCTGGAACAACTGACGAGCGGCACCAAGTCTGCAAGATCAAAACAACGGAACACACACACACACACACACACACAACAAACAAAGTGCATCGGTCACTTTAATATTCTTAGTGTTTTTGTAAAAGCTGCTTTTCTGTAAGCCGCCACCTTTTCTGTTTTCCATGTGTCACGCGTCACCCGAGCTCAGAGACCGCCCCCATCCGCTTACCCCATCGCTGGCGTCTCTGCGCTTTTACCGTCACGCGTCACCCGAGCGCAGAGACCGCCCCCCCATCCGCTTACCCCATCGCTGGCGTCTCTGCGCTTTTACCGTTATCACACTCTTTTTTTTTGTTGTTGTTTTTTGTCATTGGAACGCTTTTCCTTTTTTTTTGTGTTATTATTAAATTCTGATTTCATCCTTTTCGCTTTTTTTATTTCTCTCTCCTGGTTCAGTTTTTCCAAATTTCCTAAATGCATTTAGAAAAATTGTGTCTTCCAAAGCTCACTGTCTGGCATTAGAGAATCGTCCGCAATTTGCGTTCTCGTCCAAGCTTGCGATGGCGTTCGCTTTGTCACGGGAAAACTACGACACTAATGCAATTGATTTTTTTTGTTTTTGTTTTATTTTAGTTTTATTTCTTCTTTTTTATTTTTATTTTATTTTTTGCAATGCAATTCGAGGCTGCTATACTAGTTTTTTTTCTTGCGGGAAAAGCTAGAAGTATTCTAGATGTTACGTACTAACCACCACTTTCTGTAAAAGCACAAAATGCGTATGCGTCTCTCATCGTGGGTTTTTGTTTTAATGTGTTGGAGGGCATCAGACATCCCCAACAGGCCTTCCATCTCCCCCCCTCGTCCCCTCATTTGAACAGGTCATAAAAGCGGCACAAGACCACTATACCAACGTAGTATCACAAAT